TTCAAGTTATTGATCATGCAGGGGAGGAGTTTCAACAACCCTGAAGATCATTCCATACATATACCCTCCTCATTAACTCATCTTAGTTGTACAACACCCGATTCTCTTACATCACCTTAAACCATTTGAACTATACCCTCACTAATTAAATGATCATCTCATTCATTCTCCTATAGATACATCTAATATAACCCAAAATCATCAAGCAGTTTGCCATAAAAGAAAAGGCTCCTCATGAGACCCTTTCCAGCTACTAGTGATTGACCATCTTCTTTAGCGCCTAATTTAACTACTGAAGCTGCAGCTGCCTCCGAAGAGAACTTAATCTCTTCCAATTTCTTCCAAATTTCAGTCCTCGCCTTGTCAATTAAAAATTTTCTGACATCAAATGCCGGTGTCAATAAGCACCTCCTATTCTGGGGTTCACTGGGGCTGAAAAGCTTTGGATCAGGTTCATTCCCGATTCCATTTGCCAATCCTGCTTCTGAAGATTTTAATCCCTCGTCTTCAAATCCATTTCTATATTCGAGATCATTAATAACCTTCCTTTTCTTTTCAATATTACCGGGCTTAGATCCTAAAGATTCATCATAGCCATTGAACAAACTTGGAGTTGACTGAGTGGCAAAGATTTTTTAGGGTTTTCCATTGGCACCGGATTTCACCTTCGACCCTGCTACTCTAGCATCTCCATTGCTCTGATAAATGGCATTGGTGGAAACAGCTGATACTCCATTATGAGACACAACTGCGGTAGAATTTCCAGAGAACGAGCTCCAATGAAAAGACATGTTAGGAACATACTCAGAGCGATGCCCAGAATGATAACCTGAGACCCCATTTCCAGTGAAAAAAGTAGCATTTTTTGGGACATATGTGACCCCATTTCCATGACTTTCATATCCATTACTTGGCATATATGACCAAGGACAATACGGGAAAGAACCATTTACAGGGGCTGATCCAGTTTCAACAGCAATGAACGTCCCACGGCAGTTCTTACATGAAAGTCTCTTATTCACGTATTTCCGAATATATTCATACTGAATTTTACAAGATGTGCATACAGTCCAAAAAGTATCAAGTCTCCTTTGTGAGGTTGCATTAACACATGTTACCCCAGCAGCATATGTTATAGTTTGAACCACTCCCGAAGGCATCTGTTTGTTTCTCTTGATCTCATGCGAACTTCTCTTGATTCTATCCGACAGAAAAGTCCAAGCCTCGGATACAAGTTTGAAAGCCCCAGCGGCTCCCACACATTTATTCTTATCAGGATGGAGCAACACTGCCAACTTTCTGTACTGTTTCTTCACAGCCTCTCTGCCTATTGTAGGCTTCAACCCAAAAATTAAATAATAATCGGTTTCGCCATTACACTTAGCCTCAGAGGCAGCGTGCACTTCGAATGTGGAAACCATCTGCGATATACCTTCCAATCCAGGATACAGTGATTTAGCCTTTAAGGCATAGGTCTTGGCGCCAGTAAAGTCTCTTTCACAAAATCGCTTCTCCGCCATCTCTTTTGCCTTAAGGGTTTCCTCTTTGTTCGCTTCCATTCAGAAAATTTAGGCAAATTTCAACTCACTCAAACAAAAGTTGTCATATGCCTCCCAATATTCTTAACCTTTTAGACTGAACTGACATATTCAACCATATCATCTTTGCTGCATATGGTCAACAGGAAAACAGTTAGTTATTTCCCAAAATCAAGCTTCGTTTTTTCTAAGTAAAATACTAATACATTACTTCATGCAACTTTTAAACACCCTTAATTAATAATAATTACTAATCTTTGGATTCAAAATAACTCTTTCTGCTGTATTTGATTTCCGAAAAACCACAGAAAGGCAAGAGAAATGTGAAATTTTGAGCTAAATCTATCAAAATTAACCACATCCAAGCATTATTACGTTACAACTTATTTTAAAACCAAAAACATGTAAACCTTGGGGGGTTAATTTCCTTTCTTTTCTCATCATTTACTCAATTAAAAGAAACCCATCTGAACAAAAAAAAAGGCAGCTAATTTGCAGAACTCGAAAAACTAGATCGCAATAATTTCAAAGCTAAATGACAAAAAAGCAAACGGATCCAAGTTCAACAGGTCAAAATATACTTAATTCTAGTAGTTTGATCCATAATTTCTACTAAATAGTCAAAGGTTTCTACAAAGTGTTAACAAGTAAACATTTCCACATAAACTATACTAGGGAAGAAAATGAACTCACCTAGATTTGAGAAGTGAAGCAAGATCCAGATCACCACGTGTCCTTTACAACTTGCAAAAGCCAAGATTTTGACCTCAGTTCTGGATCTCAGTACCGATAAAAGGGAAACAAAAAATCAGATTTGTATTTCAATTTTTGAGGAATTAGGGATTCAGATAAGGAATTTTGAGGAATTAAATCGGCGGCGGGTAATAGGGATTCCGTATGGGATGGGGTAGAATTATTATTATTAATAATAATAATAAAGTAAAAACGATAATTTTCATTAAAAAGTAAACGATGTTAGTAGTATTTAATGGTGTGTGCTATTACAGTTTGTATTTTTTTATATTTTTTAATATAAAATTATATTTTATTAAAGAAAAAAAGACATAATTAAGTTTTGCAATAATTGTAATACTATTAATAACGGAAATTATTATTTATTTTTATTTTCGTATATAAAGCAATTGTAAATTTTACTAAATAAAAAAATATAATTTAAGTTTTGTAATAATAACAATATAAAAATATATATATTAGGAAAGTGTTTAGTAGCTGTAAGAGGTTTTTTTATTGAAATATCACCCTAACAAAATTTATTTTTGGAATTAACATTCATTTTGAATTATTTTTTAATCGATACATTTGTGTCACATAGGGTAAATTTATGACGTATTAGAAAAAGTGCATGTTGAGTTAAAATAAAAAAAGAAAAGAAAAAATAAGGTAAAAATATGAAAATTTATACAATCTTTATCCAAGAAAAAATAAACACACGCAGTACATGTCAAATACACATACTTGCTCAAGTTAAACAACGACAATAATGTGTGTATAAACTTTTATTTTTTTAAAACTATACCTAAAATTTAGTTTTTATTTCATTTCAGCACCACGTATTAAAAACCTTTAGTTTTTGTTTTATTTTAGTACTACTTCAAAGTTTAATGTTAAGTTTTGAAACAATTGAACGTTCAGGTACTAAAACGAACCAAACCTGAGAGTTTATGTGTTAAACTCGTTAAGTTTTTAAAGGATACTAAAATGAAATGAAAACTAAATATTAAGCATTGTTTTGAAAAAATTTAAAAGTTTAGATACTAAAATAAACCAAAACTTATACTAATTGGGGTCTAGTTTGTATATGTTTGTGCAAACATGTTTATTTGGTCTAGTTTGTATATGTTTGTGCAAACATGTTTATCTAACATTGTATCGTGTGTGTTTATTCTTTGTAGATAAATTCATATAATTTTCATTCTATTTTATGTTTCATTTTCATCCTATTTTTAAAATTTCTTATCATTTTTTAAAATATTTTATCTTTTTTGTAATATTTTGTACGTATAAATAGGGGTGTGCATTCGATTAAGTTGAGTTAAAAAATTTTGAGTTATTCGAGTTAAAGAGTCATATTTTACAACTCGAAGTTGACCTAAAACTTTTTGAGTCGATTCGAATTTTTAAGTTTCTAATTAAATTTAATTGTAAATACTTATAATATTATGATATTATTTTATTCCAATTTCAATTATTTTTTTATAACCATATAGGCATATACAATCACTGGCGGAGCCACAACTAGGTGAGGGATCCGAAATTTCTTCCATTAATTACTTATTTTATTGATGGTGTTCACCTTAAAATTTCTAGTGTCCACCCCAAAATCTGAGTTTTATTATATTAGTTACTTATTTTTCGGATAATGTCCACTCTGAAATTTTATTTGTGCTCAACCCATTTAAAAAATTTATGTTGTTAACATATGTGTATCCACCTTGCAAAATATTTTTGGATCCACTATTGTATACAATACATATATATTTCTTCATATTTTTATATATGTGATACACATATACCATAAAGAGTTGAGTAGTTCGACTCAAACTTTAAAATTAATCCACTAATTACTAAAAAATTTGAGTTACTATTCGAGTTATTATAGTTGTATTTAACAACTCGATTTGAACTTGATTTTTTTAGTCAAGTCGAGTTTATGAAATTACAACTCAAAATCAACTCGAGTCGAAAATATCGATTTTTCGAATCAAGTCAAATTTTGTAGAAGAAAGATAAATAATATTTCTTTATCTCACACATATAGCAAATTACTTTTTTCCACTTTTTATCCGAAATTGTTCATTCAAACATTATGAGTTGATTGTCGAAATTTAATTTAAAATTTAATTTTATTATTTAAAATATGTTATTTTAATATTGATTATTTATTAAATTTTTAAAAAATATTTAATAGCTAAATTTCATTAAAAACACTTAATTCAGGCCACGACAAGTAGATCATGGAAAGGACACTGATCATAGAACCAAATACATACATAATTTCCATTGAATTTTCAAGAACTTGTTTTTCAAGCTTTATATTTTTAATTATACAACTTAATTGAAATTAAGTTGATGATTAGGACTACATAAGATTTCTATGTCGGATTTCTATTTTCAATTTTCTTGAATTTCACAAAAATAAATATTTTAATTGTTACAACGACATTTCAACAGAAACTTTTACACAAATTATTGAGTGTGCCGTGAAATTTATGACATCAATTATAGACCCTGTTTAATTTCCAATAATCGCATTATATATTAATTATATTAAGAATTGAGGTAAATCAAATTTTAACTTCACGTTATTTATTTATTATATTCAAACTTTTCTTTAAATAGTATTACATTTTTTATCACTCAATCTGATAAAAATAATTATTTTTAATAAATATCAATAAAAATATTACAAGATGAAAGTAAGTAGGAAAAGGCGACGATTAATCAAACGTTGAGGGGCTTGCAAAGGAACATCAGAGACGACGGTGAGGATTCCACCGCCACCTTGCCTCCGTTACTATTAATTCCGTCAACGCCGCCGCCGAGTCTCTCGTAGCAGTCCACGCAGAACAAAGACAAGGAGAGCTGGAACTCGTCGCGAGTCCAAGAAGAAGCCTCCCTGACTCGTCCGAGTCGGCTCAGCACTGGCCTCACGCAAGCCATGTAGAGGCGTTTGTAGCCACCCAGAGCGGCGACGACAGAGCGCAGGCCTGAAGGTGGAGGAGAAACGTGGCGGAAGCAGAGGTGTTCCCAGAGGGAGTCGTTGCGAGCGACGCTGCGCCAGAGGCTGCAGACGCAGGCGGCGACGCCGAGGGAACGGCCGTCGAGGCGTTTGAGGATTTCGACGACTATGTCTTGGTGGTCGTTGATGAAGAACTTGGGTCTCCTCTTTTCGTTGCTCTCTTCGTACTGCTGCACCATAGCTAAAGCCTGAGGGGGAAATTAAGGATTTGATTTTATTTACAGTGTGCATGGATATATTGCTTTGGTTTAACGATGCTTATTAATATCTATTTTCGTCCACATAAAATTGGTAAATTTCATGTTTGGTACTTTAGTATTTAAATTCTCATTTCGTGACTAGTTTGGTATTTTACATTTTTAAATATTTTTAGATTTTAAATTTAATTATTATTATTTTATAATTTTAACACTTCGTTGGATTCTTTTATAATTTTTATTTTTTTATTTTTATTGCTTTCAATATTTTTTAGAAATTGTATTGAATCTTTAAATAGATGTAATAATATTTTTTAGTTATAGTGTGCCAAATAATTTTAATTTTTAAAATAATTTCTTACTATTTTTTAAATTAAATAAATTTATAGGTTATTTTTAAAAATATAATAAATGGCACGTAAATTATTATAGTAACAAAGCAAATGTTTACGTGAAGACACTAATAATCAAAGACAAAATCAATCATTAAAAGTACTATCACATGACTTGGTCGACAACTACTTTGCTGCATACAACTTTTATATTTTCATTTTTAATTTGCAACAACAATTGAATCATTTCAGTTTTAAATTCTTTTTTTATTTACATATATATATATATATATATATTAAGATGTGGTTTTATCGTAGCTTTTTATATAAACACATTAATAATTATCAGAGTTTCGAAAGCTTAAAACAATGTAATTTATTTTATTTTTTTTGTTTACTTGGATCATAGCACTCGATACCATTATACAAAACAATGTCGAAGAAGACAACCCAACCCATGAAATGTGGTTTTACTCGACATCAACACATGATTTAGTCAACTAATCTGTCTTTTCGTTTTAAATTTACAACAACAGTCAAATCTTTTTAATCGTATTTAATTGATTCCCCTAGGAGTTTCATATAAACACCTTCAAGGCTTTGGTTGTTAAAATAAAACCATAATCTTTTAAGCTTTTAAATTTTAAAATAATATAAGATTAAACAAAATTATGGGTTTAATTATAACGAACTTAATTTAAACATAATTAAATACAAATTCAATTATCCAAACACATAATTAGTCTACCATTCCCAAACTTCACTCCTTGTGAAACTGTTGCTCATATAAAATTATCTAATACACCTCAACAGCCGAACAGATCTCATTTAGGCGAACTTTGGGCTGCACTAACGCAAAAAATCTGCCATTTTCTGGTCTAAACATACAGGAAAGCTTACACTACAGATTTCACCAAGAGCTGTGAAATAGCAACGTTCATGATCCATTTTGTCATGTATCTAGTGATACATGTTTTGGAGTTCATCTTTGTACTCTGCCTTGATCTGTTCCCTCTTTATTTTGAGTGCAGCTGTGACCAGCCCTGACTCAGGTGTCCACGGATCCGCCACCAACTTGATCTTTGCAGGCACTTCAAATTTGTCCAGTTTTGCATCCTTTGCCACCTGCACTTGCACAACTATCCCCCATTAGTGACCACCTATGGCTATAATACCCCCTTGCTTTTGATATTCATATGCATAATAAGCATAAAAACTTTGAAATTTTGATCCACCATACATACATCCAAAACTGCATAATATATGCAGGGTATGTGTATTTCTGTATCATTAGAAAAATTCTGAATAGATGCTACTTTGTAATCAATAAGTTGGAAGCCAAACCATCCTAAAATGGAAAGGAAATAAAAAAATCGAATGCCAATTTCTTATACATGACACGGAAAGCATAACCAATGGCAGCCATACAACGTCACATAGTCCTGAAGGGATGATCAAATTGTGTATAATGATAACGACTTCCTAAACGTGTTTAGTTTCTGATTTGAAACTCATCTTGGTTGTATCGTGAGAAGTCAGAGTAAAAAGGAAAATGAACCGACCTTTGAAAGGGATTTTTGGACCTCACTAACAGTTTCAGCTTTGTCACACAATTCTGGAAAATCTTTGTACTCTATACCAGCTTCTTTGGCCCACTTCTCAAGAACCTCTCGTGACGGAACAATCAAAGCCACACAATAGCTGTGAAAGGGATCCGCGTGTACCATCAAATTGTCAACATATTTGCTCGACATCAGTGCTGCCTCAACCTGCAATCATCATTTTTAGAAAAATAAGCATCCGATCCTGTATCCACAAACTAGTATTGGGATTAATTTTATAATCACCTTTCCGAGGGATATATACTCTCCATGTTGAAGTTTAACAATATCCTTTTTCCTATCAATAATCTCAAGGGATCCATCGGGATGAAATTGTCCGATATCTCCGGTGTAAAACCAACGCATGCCCCTCTCATCAACCTGCAGATGAAAACAAACCATAGTTGGTATTAATTGATACTTGCAGACCATGAAACATATATATATTGCTTGTATGTTCAAAGCCACTTGTCCACTACAAATACAAAGTAAGAACTCCACCTTGTAAACTTCATCAGTTTTCTCAGGATTGTTGAAATAGCCAGAAGTTACAGTAAATCCCCCAATAACAATCTCTCCTCGAGGCATCGGTTTGTCTGATACTGAATACCCACCTTCTGCCCAGTTAACAAGCTGCAAAAGTAATCTAATTATAAAAGTTTACATTATAAACCTTGAATAAATACGGGGATGAATCTCTAGTACTTTCATCATTTCTTTTAATTACAAAATACCCCCAAGGATCCAAGGGCTTAAGGTACAAGCAGAATGCGCTGGCAGCAAAAAACACTTGTATAACACGTCTTCAGAAAACAAACAAAACTGTAACTGAAAGCTTACTCGATTCTCTAAAGTTATGTGGCATACCTTAATGTAACAACTAGGAACGGGTGGCCCAACTCGGCCCACAGTTGTCTCATCCATCTCGGTAAAAGCAGATCCAGCACATGTTTCTGTCAAGCCATATCCTTGAGATACGGGGGCTCTATTGAAGAAATAAGACATGAAAATAGAATTTTACTGAGAAAACTAACATTAGATTAAGTAATTTACAGGAGCAAAGTCAATGTGAGAAAACTAATTTACCGATATGAACCAACTGGTTGGAATCAGCACCAAAAGAAATGAGAGAAACTAATTTTTCATCGAACTATACGGTAAGTCAGGAGAAGAGAATAATTACCCCATGCAAATGTTGATGAAGCGTTGGGAATTTCCAGATAAAGGAGCTCCACCAGAGAGTATGAGTCGAATGTGACCTCCAAGCGCAGCACGTACCTTTTTGAAAACAATAATATCCCAAAACCATTTCTCAAGTCCCCAAGCACCAAACCAGCTTCCTTCTATAGCTTGCAGTCGCCGTTTATAGGCAATATCAAAAAGTTTCTTTGCTAATCCTCCAGTACCCTCAACCTACATAAAATAGGACCAATTAGTAAAAGGGCAGTTCATTGCTTCACATGTACAAGAATTAGCAAAGAGAAAAGAATATCTAAGGGAAAAGGCACGGTCTTCAGTCTTCACTGGTATAAACTATGTTTTGACCCTTCATATTTTTCACTTGGCCCTCTATAAAACTTGTATTTTGACAATTTATTGACATTTTCAGTTTAGTCTCATTCATTATTGCCCTATTCTTATTTTGGTGGTTTTAATTAGACCTTTTTTTTGCGAGTCTTTAATTCTTATTAAATAGTTTTACATATGCAATATCAATTATAGTATGTTAATTCTAATTTTTTTCATAAAAGAAATTTATACATATTTGCAAATTTAATATCATTATTATAATTAGATCTGGTATTTTGATATATAAGTTCCGTTTCTATTTTGAGCTCTACATATATAATATCAACCCCTAGGATTGCTAAAAAAATTGATCCCTAAATACAATTCCAGCCATTTCCCCTACAAATAAGTCAAACCAGCACGCACCTTTTTCACAACTCCATCCCGAATACGATCCAAAATAGCAGGAACGGCTGCCATGAGAGTGGGTTTCAATACAGAAGCATCTCCCTTGGTCCCTCTCATGATTTTACTAGAAGTATCTGTTAGTGTCAAAGGTGAACCATAGCCAATTGCAGTACCTGCACCCAGCATCACTGACTGCAGAACAATCAAACCATAAGAATCATCCTGACGCCATTTATAGGCAACAAAAACTGGATATGAACCTACCTCAGCTGCCAGTTCCAAAACATGAGCTAAGGGCAAATATGCCAAGTATACATCATTTGTTCCTATTCCTCGGATAATAGTCATAACCGCCGCAGCAAGGGCTACAATGTTCCCATGAGTTATCATGACACCCTAACTCAATAAAAAGTACATCAGGTTAGCCTTTATAAACAAATAACAACCAGGGAACAAGCAGTTCCTTAGTTGCATAAGACGATTTATCAGGAGAATATGATTTATTAGTTAATTCAAATAATGGTATGTAGACATGTAAATTATATTAGAACTGTGTTCATTTTATTCCTCTTCACTTTCAAGTAAGTCATATAAAGGTATACAACCCTATATTGTCATTCGGCATGCAATCTATATAAGGGTACCTAAGTTTGCACATATAAACAAAATACTGCACATGAAAAATAAGGAACTAAATTTAGTAGTGAACCTTTGGCAGACCCGTACTGCCACTTGTATACATTATAACAGCTACACTATCCTTGGAGGGAAGACTAGGAGGAACAGGTGCTCTTTCTCCAAGCAATTCAATTTCATGAAAAGAAGAAACATTCCGGTCACCCATGCTTCCAAGTAAACCGGAAATATTTGGATTCTCATCATCTTCAAAGTAGATGATATTTGTGATCGTTTTCAGGCTTGAATGTATTGCAGCCAACTTTTTTAACTGCTTCGATTCACAAATCAATGTTGATACCTGGGTCTGTCATAATTGTAAAAATTTGAATCAGGGCAACAAGCATTGCAAATAGAAAGACAAGAACCGAGGAAGAAGAACAATATTGTAACCATATAAATCACATTATACATTCAATAAACAATTTAAGGTTGAATAATTCAGAGCCGGAAAATAAACAGAC